CCGTTCGCAAAACAAAACAACAACTCTTCGTTTGGCATGAGCAAAAATAGATTTTGGGTTTGAAGCAAATTCAAAGTGAATAGTAATAGTTCTTTCGGTCAAATATTTTTTAATTGAATATTGAAGACTTTTTGCACCTTTCTCCATGCCTTTTACAACTGTTCCACCATGCTTAAACAAAAATTCAGCTGGACTCACAAGGTTGTTCCTAATTGCCCACTTATGAGTAGTTAAATTTAATCTAGCTATATTTATAGACTGTAGCCTCAGAACGTCCACTACCTACAGTGGGATGGCAAGTAAATGACAAATTTGACATAAAATTAAGCCTATAAAGGAGCCTAGCCATACATAATTGAGGGGATTTTTAAAATTTTCTGCCTATATAAAAATATTTTTTGTTGATTCTGAATTTAAAAAAAGCACAAACAATAAACAGGTTTTTAGAACATTGCTGCCTACAGCCCGTTGTAACTCAAGAAGGTAGGGTGAGGGCAAAACGGGCCAGAGAAGAGGAAGCAGACGGAATGCTGGAGAAGAGAGTGGGAAATCTCTCTTAAATGTTCCATCTGCTTCCTCTGCCCCGGCCCGTCTTACCCTCACCCTACCTTCTTGACTTGCAACGGACCCTAACATGTACCCTTGAATAGTAGCCACAGTTAAATTTTGAAGATTTTACTGCAATGTAATAATAACGATCCCAAAACTTTTATGTTTTTTTTTCTTTTAATATACATTAGGCGTGCGCTAAACCATACTAGTTTGAAGATGTGCTTTTCGCATAAGCGCGCGAATGAGCTGCGGTGAAGCGGGTCGCGAGATCGCTGTGTCAGCTTCATGGGTATTCCTTCTCCGCAGTGCAGCTGTGCTTGAGGAGAAGCGCACTCAAGGGGGCTAACCCGCTGCAATAAACACTTCGAAATGTATGAATATTGCAGTTCATTTATTAAGCGAATATCACCATATTATTTCAAACTACCATTAGAAAATTAAAATATTTGCGCAGCTCTATTCTTCGCACATACTACTTAGGCATCAAGAAAAAAAAACTACTTTCTTAACTTTCAGTGGCATCGCTTGTCACGTGCCAGACACTTTCAGTTTCCTTTTTGAGAACAGCTCCCTTTCGGCGCAGACATGATGCACATTGCGTGCAAATACAGCCTTTAGAGCAGCATGTAGCAGGTTATTCATTCTGGCGCAGTTTGGCGCAATTAGCGCAGCAGTTTTACCACTGAATATAGCAACGGTTTGTTGTTTACGTTGCAAATTTAATTGAATGTCATGTATAAATCACAAAAGTTGTATTTTGCATGATAATGTCTTTCTAAATCTGTGCTTGTTTTTGTTTAGGAGCATATTAGGCTCAGTGTATCTAATGATGTTTGAAGATATCATGCTGAGTGATCTAGAACAATAGTGAGGTGAATTTCTATCTCCGAACCTATGTACCTACTTTTTGTATAACATGTATCAAGTTATGTTAACCGTTTAGTTAGTGCGTTTTCTGGATATATTTATTACCCTGATTGTTTTTGCTGCATCTCCGTCACCATCTGCCAAGCTCTCGGGGCCCAGACCTAGTAAGCCAACAAAGATTGGCTTTTTTTGCCCGTAACTTCGACATCTGTACTTGCAGATGCAATAAATGATTTGATTTAATGTACAGGGATTACATGGCTGATTTTTAAAAAGGCCCTGCAAGGACTTTTGTACTGGTTTTTAATTTGCACTGAACCTGAGTGCACTGAACGTCGTATCTTAATGAAACTGTTCTTTTCACGAATTTTACTTTATTTTAAAAGATATAGGCAAATTAAAAATACAAAAACAAGCACAAAAACCCTCTTTCATGACGTCCTTCGTCGCTTAAGTGGTCGTGAACTAGAGGAGGGTTTGTGAGCTCAAGAAGCACACACGGCTGCCGCACTCCGTGTCGACGGCTCGAGAGGGCGCCACTAAAGCATGTTCCGGCTAGGCTGTATGAAGCGGGCGGCCAGGGCGGCTCGCACTGCACTTGCTGCACGATTAAACACTGGTTCGGCATGACACTTCATTGGCCACCAACGACAGCAAACACGAGTTAAAAATCAGTTCAGAAAGGGAGCCACTTCGCGCTACCATACCACCAAACGGCCAAAACGCAAGCCAAATCTGCTCGCCAAAGGCCTTCGAAACGCTCGGAACCAGTCGGATCCTCGAGCCCGTTTACGACCGCAGCGCCACCGCGTACATCAGAGACCTTTCTACGCTCGCCGCTCATCGGTGCCTGACCCCACTACCCCTCTAGTATGCGCCGCATTTTACACCGATTGGTGGTGGATATGTCGACGGGTCATTTCTTGTTTCCGTCTTTATAAACTGCATTTCTTTCTTTTCTGATCTAAAATACTCAACAAAAAGTACTTTCATAAATATTTGAAACGGTTCGCGCCACTTATATTTTGTATTTAGACTAAAAAGAAGCTTTTAGCGGGTCTGACTAGTAGACTACACAAATTGCGCGCTTTCGGCACCGCAGGTCGCCCCCGTAGGTGGAGGGGGTTTCCACATCGTCCGGTTAAAATATAACACACTGGTATTTAGTTACTTTCTCCGTGCCCGCTGCCTTGCCCGAACCCCAATAGATTTGGAAACCGCAAAGAAGGTAGACGCTTAAATATGATTGCAGGGCCCCTTCAAGTCAAGAGGTATGCTACCAGAGGAGTGATTCTCGATAGATGTCAGTTAGAACCAGAAATTCTATAGGCTTGGTGTTTTCCATGACTGTAATTTATGTGGTTGCCACCAGAACTTCTGGAAAGTTCCAGATTTTCAATGGCTAAGGTTGTATATCTAACAATTATATTCTGCAGATATTGAACAAGGAATTGCCATTATTACACAAATAATTACAATGCTCCGAGAAGTAATTCTACTAAAGAATAAAACTGAACATACCAACAGCCTCTTGTCAGCAGCTTCCATAAGTCTTGGTAGTTTCAAACCGCAACATGTCCTCTAGAAGTGGAGCATAAATGGCTCTGGTCTGTGCCTGGTCTGGTGCTCTAGCTGTCTGAGGGCCATGAGTCCACAGTCACTTGAGCCTTGGTTTCATCCCTCTATTCTTCTGCACGGGCCACAAGCTGTAGTACCAGGCTTGCAGTGGAAAAGAAATTGAAGGTGTTAAAGATACTTCTGAAAAGACAAGGCACAAAAAAAACCATCAACCATTTAGCTTGAAAGGTGCTAAAAAAGAAAATTATACAGATTTAATTAGAACAAAACTTTGAAGATTTATCTCAACCACCCAGGTATTGTGAACCTAGACTGATCTTGCAGCACAATAAGCCTCAGTCAAATTGCAGGAACCTCAGTCTGGTTTACAACCTGATAACTCGGCATCTTGCCTCAAAGCCAACTTTCAATTAACAGCTAATACATTAAACTCTGAAGATACAGCACCAATAAGAGATGAGCATGGTCATGACAGCCTGCTTGACTTACAGTGTCAAGTTAAGGGTCAATCAATGAAACTATTCTCCTATGCCCTTGAAAACTGTGGTCGAGACAAACGCTAGAACCAAAAAGATACTTCAAGTAGCTGTCAGCACGCGCTGTACAAGCAGAAGTGTCAAGGGAAGGTTGAAAGGGCCACAGGAAAGCACTGGCTTTCCAAACCTTAGATCCGCCACCCGAAAAACACCCTACTTTCACACGGGGGAGGGAGCTAGCCTTGCGGCTACAATTTCAGCTATCTGCTCATGTGATAGGGACAGTATACCCAACCTCGACATCAGATTGGACATAGTCCGAAGGTTCAGTTGACCGACTGCTTACAAAGCAAATTGCACGGACCAGAGGAGCCTGCTTTAGTATGTTGGTCAGCGACTGTGTGCTGAAAAATTAACAAACTAGGGAAGAGTCATGCTAGTGCAGTGCCTATATCTGTAGTGAGTTTGAAAGAAAAAGATTATGCACGTAAAATGCTTTCAACAGGCTTGCGAATGTGCATTAAAAACTCGCATAAAGATGTTGGCCTGAACTAGGTTTCGGTCGGTGCTGCTTCGATTCCTCATAACTGATCTCATTCCAGGGGTAGTGATTAACAGAAATAAAACAGGCACAAAGGCTGTTTCAAACACTTGAGACTGCTTCTGGCTGGAGAGGTTAAAAGACTGGCTTTAAACCTCTATAAATGCTTATGACTGCCGTGCCGGTTGTAGGCAGTTGCAAGTGTGTGAACCATGCCTGCTTTCTTCTGCAGTAATACACTGCACAAGGAAACTTATTGTATGTTTCTATAGTTGCAACACAAGAATGCGGTGAGACTGGAGTATTCAAGTTCTAGTGCGGTGAATCACAGTTTGCTCTTCTATTTAGGCCTCCAAGAAGGATGTCCTGGGAATAATAACAACATCAAGCCTATACAAACAAAAACACCTACCTTCTTCCCATCATACTTTGAAAAGACCTTGTTTTTTAAGGCATGGCCAATAAAAGAAAAAGCTGATGGCCATAGAGAATCTTCTGTCACAGAAATAACACTACATACTGCCATATATGTCAGGAGAGACCATATCCCAAATTAACCATGCACAAAAGAGAATGCTGAGAATGTATGAACATACACTGCATGTGCTGGTGTCTGCAAGCAAATCTGTTCAAAAGTAAAAATCTAAAATAAATAGCACATTGCACACACATTCCTCAAAACCCTATTTTGGTTTTTTGCCTCGAATCCTTTATGCAGAGAAGGCAAGCGTGTGCAGCATGTGTACCTACGTTTCCAGCATTTCCCCTGGTGCTTGGGTAATTAGCAAAAGTCTATTGCTGAAGTTGTGTCAAATGTGTGTCCAAGCAACACACTGTGGTCGTTGCAGACATCGAGGTTGCAACGGATGCTGTCAAAGCTACAGCTCCTGATGCAAATTTCTGAAAGGGCCATTAGAGGCAAGCACACATGTCAAAAAGTCGGTGAGGGGGGGGGGGGGGGGCAACTTACCGGTTAAATTCCGCTGCCTCAAAGAATCATGACCGCCTGTGACATCTTTGGGCGATAGTAGCTCCTGGGGTGCTATTAGAAAATAAGATGGATTGTTAGGTACAAATCTTCTAATATTCAGAATTTAAAAAATAACTCGATTGAGTACAGAACCCTCAGATGCGTCTGCTATATAAATGCTTGTGCAGCGAGAGCACATTCAAAAAATGCGACCTCCTGCTGAAAATAACAATGTATGTATACTTTACATGCAGCATTTCTTTGCAGAGCTGGTGGTTGCATATTATCACTGTTCTCGAACTTCCACTTCTAGGGTGCACAACCATGTGTTCTATGTTGAAATAGAACACAGGGCTCTCAAACCAATAAGTGTTTTCATGACAATGTCATACCTACAAGTGTTCATTCTGTTGTTGTTTTTTTCCTGTTTTTATCTCTGTGAGACATATGACAGTTATTTCTTCGCTGTTTTTGTAGCTCGCTTTGTCAAGAAGATGAAAGAGAATACCTTGTCAAGCAACTGTTGGCTTTTTGTCTGCCTCCCAGCATTTGTACTTGTACAGGTGCAAATAAAATGAGTGATTGATTGATTGAACTAACACAAAATGGAAGTGCAGCAGTCTAATTCATTCCCTATAATCAAACAGCAGAATTCACGTTTGAAAACAATACAGGTGCCTTCACTAAGGGAAGAGAAAGGTAAAACGTAGGCTTCAAAAAGCAAACATATTGTAGCCAATGGCGTCATGTCACTTGACCACTCAGCAGACTACTTCCCGCTGCATATGCTTAGCTGTTGGCATAGGCACATAGCCCCCTGCTTCTCTCATTCACCATCCTCTCCCCCTCCCTCTTTGTGTCACACCCTCATGGAGCTTTGGGAAGCAACTTGAAGCCAATATATATTTTGTTGCAAGCTAAAAGCCTTCATCTGTATTATATTTTATGTCCCTCTTTTCTTGCCCAGTTTTCTCGCTAGACTGGCCACGCGACAATCAAATGCAGGCGCACTTACTGCTCCCTCTCTTAAATCTAGGCTCTCTCCGTCATCTCCGCCGGCATGTTGTCGTTAGCGCTCCGAACGCCTCTATCGGCATGCCACAACGGCTTCTCCGCGTGCAATGCGGTAAAGCTGCTTCCCAGATAAGGAGCGGAGAGCAGACGACGTTGCAAAGACTGCCGCCGGCGGCCTTTCCAGCATCTTCTACTGCCTGTTTTGGGTGCCTTCTTGGTCGTGACAGTAAAGTGCGGCGGTCTTAGACTTAGGGCCAGTTGCACCAATGCAGCTTAGCGCAAATCAGAGCTTAGCAGGGAACCTAAGCCGAGTTTTGGTTTTGTTCTGTTGCACCAAACTCACTTATCGCTAAACCTAGCACTAAACCATGCCTATCGTGAGCGCTCAGCATCGGGTACTTCAATTGGTCGTTTCTTAATCCTGGATTTAAAACATGTCGGCTGGTTTGTGGCGGTCTACACGGTGGACCAAATTGGTTGTACAAAGTGTTTTAGGCTACAGCAGCGTGAGAGCCTCAACAGAATAACCTTTGATTGCGACAGATGCAAAATATTATGTGAAGTGTTTATCGACCCGTTTTCAAGTTGACTTTCCACTCTCAGTGTGTGTTAGCCCTAACCGGGGAAGGTATGCAGATGTGGGGCTCACGCACGGCTCACGTCCATCTTCCCATTGATTTTTATTTCAGCGTGCTTATTCGTATGCAGTTATTTGCGCATATCTGTAACGTATTGCTATTTAAAACCTTGTTTATTTTGAGCGCAGCTCTTAGGCACCCGTTTCCGGCTTGAGTGGAGTCGGCGTAACCGCACGGTGCATTATGGGACACTACCCATGATGCAATGCGCAGGGAGGAGGATGAGGGGGAGGGAAGGAAGGAGGAGGAGGGGGAAGAGAAGGAAGGAGGGGAGGAGAGGGGAGCTTGAAGGATGAGGTGAGGGGGAGGTGAAGGAGGATGAGGAGGAGGGGAGGAGTAGCAGGGAGGATGAGTGGGTGAGGAGGAGCAGGGAGAGGGGGTATACCCTCCCCTCAGTACCCTTCCCTCGTCTTCTTTAAGAGCTGTGCTCTAATTCGGCGTTACAGGGTGTTGTAAACGTCAGATTTTTACTTTCAACGCATTTCCTTTTTTCCAATCGGCGCGTTGAATAGCGGCAGTGCACGATCTCGTCGATCATCCGATTGTAGCCCCATTCTTCCGTTCTCATGAAATTGCGGTGAACAACGCATTTAGACAATAATGCAACGAAAAGGCTTTTTTTTTTTTTTAGTGTTGGGACAATTTTTAAGAGAAGTTTCTTTGTCTCCAGAGTAAAATCTCAGCTTCGGAAAACTGTGTCGTTCTACAGTCGAAACTTATCTGGTGACCGCACTTTGTAGCGGCGACAAGAAATCATAACGACTAAGATGCGAGATTTGCTCAGCACTGTATTAGGGCAGGCTGTGGCGGGTGGTGCGAAGAGATGACTGTTCTCATAGACAGAATGTGATGACCTAGTGTGAGTTTTCATACTTCAAAGACCGCCACCGCCTTACGTTCAACTAGGGAGACAGGCAGTGTACTGTGCCACAGCTCACACGCCATGCCCCTCTGGGTACAGATGTTACAACATGTTCTGCAGTACCGTAGAAGCTAATAATCGTTCAGTAATTGTATTTGCACTTCGATATATTTAAATTGTTGTCAAAATTGAATACAATATTTACTTTTATTTTTGGAGTGCACTTTGTTGCAATGCACATAAGTTGTGTGGTGAAGTAGGCATCATGAAAATACCCAGTATTTCTGTTTTCTGGCTGCACTTGGAAATTTTTTATACAAATATGTATGGTTAAATTATCCTTGGCAAGCAACTGGACCCCAGCCCTAGACTCAAGCCTTGCTTATTCCAGCATCTGCTCATCTAATTTCTTAAGGAAATAATTCAGGTACTAACAAAAACATGAAATGCTTATGAAGGCTGATCGGGAATCTGAATGGTTTATTTTGGAAAATCATGTAGGTCATAAATGACCTAAGCTTAATGTGATAATCCTAGTGTTGGTTTTCATGATTGAGATCTGAGGCAGAACAGGTGAAATAGAAAAGAAACTTTGTACAATGTCTAGGTCTAAGGCACAGCTTGTATTTGTTTGCTAAAAGACAGAACTAACAGACACTTAGAAAAACCCTCAACACCTAGGCATAGAAATTAGAACAGCATAATAGAACCAGAGGAATGAAATGCACGACTGCCACAGAAAGATGGAACTTTACCAATCTGGGGAAAATTTACGTAACACTGACTATTTAAAATAAGTGAGAAACCAGACCGTAATGCAGCTTGCTTTTTGAACTAACCTAAAATTAACTATCTTCAATTTTATGAGCTAACAGAATAATGACTGATGCAACACAAAGAAAGTCAGAAGGTCAAGTTACAAGGTTACATGTAAAGACCCCAAGTTAGCAGTCATGCTGCATATGGTAAGTTTTCTTTCTGCAGTGGAGACACAAACAGTCTAATTTCATAGCTGACTGATTCATCACTCTCTGAAGGCTAACAACCCATTTAATTTTGACTTTTATGACCATAATAAGGTCAAAGTAGGAAAGTTTTAACCTACACAAAGATATACCAGGTGTTTCTTTCAAAACTTAACAGATCTGTTTAAAAAGCCGTGAAAGTTACACTTATGCGGTTTGTGCAGATGAGTTATACAGCCAGGGGGATAGAGTATTGGGGCTAATTGTAACGATCAGTCAGCTAATTATTTAAAATTCGTTAATTAACTTTTTAAATAATTAAAAATCGACACATAGTTCCAATTAGAAACTTGCTAAGCGCCATTGAAAACCACTAAATCAACTCTTTTTAGAACATAAAGCATGGGCAGCATTTTACGTCGTTCTGATGAAGCGCTCAATTTGGATGTGCTTCTCGGTTTCGCTTACTTATCCGAGCATACCTCTGCGCCCGCAATCCTGTCCCCTCCCCCTCCCCTCCCCTCCCTCCCTCCCTCCCTCCCTCCCTCCCTCCCTCCCTCCCTCCCTCCTCCTCCTCCTCCTCCCCCGGTAGTCGCGGCGCAAAGCCACTCCCTCGCTTACCTTGTAGCATAGAGGGAAGTTGGGCGCAACTGTGTTGCACGTCTCAGCCACTGTCGAGCAGGACCGTGGGCGCAGAGATGCACTGCAATAACAAATCGAAACCTAGAAACGCGTCCAAATTGAGCGTTTTCATGGAACGCTGTAATATACAGCCCCTGCGTTATATCTTTCGAAAAAGAGTTGATATAGTGGCCTTAGGAGACGCTGAACAAGTTTCTAATTGGAACCACATGTCTATTTTCATTTATTAAAAAGTTAATTAACGAATTTTACTTAATTAGCCAACTGATCGTTACAATTAGCCCCCTATACTATGTTCCCTTGGCCGTATACCTCACCTGCGCAAAACCGCTTTAATGTAACTTTCATTTTTTAAAACAAAGCCACAAAGAGTGTCTTGGTGTAAATGCTATATGTATTCCGTTACCAAGATTGGCTCATGAAGTAAACTAAACAATGAATAAGTATGGTTGGAGCCAGAATGCAGACGTTACGAAGCATCCATGTCGTACGAGGGTGATTAAAAACTTATTTCACTTTGGTCAACTTACACCTTCTGTTGGCTGCACTGTCTTATCGTCACTTTTCATACAAGGTTCTCCAGTCACTGCTGTGCAGGCTTGAATCTGTTAAATCAGTTCAGTTGGGACCGAGGTGCTAGGAAGAATGGCTGTCCCATGCTTAATTTGTACAAGTGAATCAGTCATCGTTCTCGTGATATGAAGGGGTGTCCACTAATTCCATATATATGAATATACCGATATCCATAAAAAAAATTTTGTGCACAGTATTATGGAAATGTAAATGTTTTCTCGCAAAGAAATGCGTTTGAATGGATACAGAAGTTCTATGAAGAATGCACGAGTGGCAGTCAGAAAGGAGCCAATGCCCATCCATTTCGACGACTGAGAATAACGTTGAGACACTTCCGCGAGAGGTGTTGAGACACTTCTGCAAGGCAATGGGGGATCTCCAGAGGAAACTCAAATGCTGAAGATAATCAGAGTATTGTCATCGTCCCCATATCATAGTCAATCATTGGTCTTGAATGGTGCTATTATATTCGAGTTCTCTATTTTGTGACCACACTTGCCTCCAGATGGCTCCAACGTACTAAGAACTACCCCGGGATAGTCGTCGACCTCCGATTGAAGTCAATAATTGGTCTTGAATGGTGCTATGACAACAAAGTTTCCTTTCTAAAGAGCCAACTTGCCTCCAGACATCTCTGCAATGATGAAAACTACCTCGGAATGGTCGTAGTCCTCCTATTGTAGCCAATAATTGGTCTTAGACGGTGCTATGACAACGAAGTTTCCTTTCCGGTGAGCCAACCTGCCTCCAGACGTCTCTGAAATGATGAAAACTACCTCGGAATGGTCGTCGTCCTTCAATTGTAGACAATAATTGATCTTAGATGGTACTATGACAACAAAGTTCCCTTTCCGGTGAGCCAACCTGCCTCCAGACGTCTCTGAAATGATGAAAACTACCTCGGAATGGTCGTCGTCCTCCAATTGTAGCCAATAATTGGTCTTGAACGGTGCTATGACAACGAATTTTGCTATCTGGTGAGCCAACTTGCCTCCAGACGTCTCCAAAGTGCTGAAAACTACCACTGGATGGTCGCTGTCCTTAAAGTGTAAACTGAACTTTGAAAAAAAAAAAATGTGGTCGTTAAAATTATTAAAAATCATTTCACAATTTTGTAATCCTGACATGTTGCAAAGAGACAGATGCTTAAGGAACTATATCATGTAAAATTTACTGAAAGGACAGATATAAGGGCACTGCCATTCTGATTTCAAATGCAGCACTGATAATAGGCACATTCAAGTCCCACTAAGTTTGTGCTTAGGTCTTGCACTTGGGTGTTTGCTGCTCCAAAACAGTGTTTTGGAGCAGCAAATGTGGCCTTTGGAGCGGCCAAGATAGTGTGTTTTGGAGCAGCAAAAGTGGCTTTTGGAGCAGCGAAAACAGTGTTTCGGAGCAGAAAAAGTGACTTTTGGAGCACACATTCTTAGAAAAATAAATATTTGTTTTAAATGCTGGACAAACGAAGGGCACTTTGTGTTGTTTTGTGATGCGACGTGTTTGGGCGGAATTCGCTGCTTGTGTTTTTGCTGCTGAGACATCCCACAAGTATACAGTGCTGTAAGCGTTGCCAAGCAATTCTGAAAAAAAAACAAAAAAAAACACTTGCTTTTGTTTTACTGGTTTTCAACGTGGCAGATCTTTATAAAAAGTAAGCAAACGTAAGACATTAGATTGCAAGCGTCCTGGATGGTGCCTCTCGTGCAATCATGTTCACATGCACGTGAGGGCAACTTCGGCAGGCTTGCACCTAGACGTGCTTCGTCGCATGAGCAGAGACAACGGCTGTTCGACCGAAACCGAAACCATGCCACTCCCCTTTGTTGCCAACTGGTTCCCAAAATAATATACATGTACAAAATGTAACTGTCCAGCATACGACAATAAACAGTCCAGCGGTGCGTGCTTGCCAGGCCGGTGGGCGAGGTACAAGCTAAACACACAAAAAAAAAGGACCTGAGCGTATCGATGCAAGACGTTGCGAGCCAGGGTCAAGAAGTTTTTGGAGCGCTTTGTGCAACGACTGAACTCGAGACAAACAAGCGTGCTGTGCAGGTTCAGCGTGCAGGCATTGCCTTCTTTGCTTTAGGTCACTTCTCATCATCAACATTCTTTCGCGGCAGATTTTTCACGTACCGGGGTCCCTCTCGGGAGAAAGCCCACCGAGAGAAACCTAGGTAATTATTATTTCGACACAGCAGTCATTGAGTTAAAGAGGGATTTTTATAGCAGCGTATGATTTAAACAAGAGCAGGAATGTCGATGCGTTTCAGTTTAGAAAGCATTATATCTGCAGCAAAGTGGGGACGGCAACACACGACGTCGCGCGACGAGAGTTACTTTGTGAGCATTGTGAGCACAAAGTAACTCTTGCCACGTAAAAACGTGGTTTTGTTTCACAGCATGACGGCAAGTCTGGAACCCGACACACTAACGTCGGAGTGTCCGCGCACACGGCCGCATCTATCACTAAAAAATTAAAAAAAAGAAAAAAAGACGCGAGATGAGATTCCCGAGACGACGAGATTGCGAAACGCGAGACGGCGGGAAAAATCATGCAAGACCGCATAGACGATTGATGCAGGGTACTTTGTGCCGGGCAGCGTCTTGTGCCACCTAGCCAACGCATGCTCAATTACGGTTCTCAGTTTAGTTTCGTTTTTGAAAGGCGACCAAGATTGGTCCTTTTGCGCAGGTTTGGCACAGATTAGCCATATTTTGGCGAAATGTAGCAGGATGTAGCAGAGTTAGCCCCTTGGCGCAGAGTTTGGCACAATTGGTGCAGCAATCACATCACTGATGTTGGCAGCGCCGATTCCACAGAAATATTAGTAGTTGCACGGTGTTTACTTGGGGGAAGACCTGTGTTTCGGAATTAGTTCAATTTGAAACAAATGCATAATCGTAAACATATAATTAAAACAGTGCAAACGAGTACAAAGACAAGTAAAAGAAGGCACAGAGACACAGCGCTGACTCACGACTTACTCTCTTTTTCGTCTTCTTAAAACAAATCAACATAAAAAGACGTGAGTCAGCGCTGTATCTGTGTCCCTTCTTCTAATTGTCCTTGTGTTCGTTTGCGCTGTTTTAGTTATGTTTTTTTTATACACCACCGACTAGCTCACCTCAAAACATTACTGCAAATGCAAAAAATTCACCTTTCTTTTTCTCTTTTTTTTTTCGAGATTGATTAGTGCTAAGTGGCGCATTTGGGTAAACATTGAACTGTACTTGCGCTCCGGGAACCTGTAAAAAGGCATGAAAGCAGGAAATAAGCAATCCTATTTTTCCTTCAGTATTTTCTTTTTCTTCTTTCTGTTAAACAAATTATTGTTATTTGCAAAAAACAAAACAAAAAAAAACGGAAGCTTTGCCACAGTTAGCGCATTAACATTGTGTCGTAGTTAGCTGGTGAGGTCAGTAATGTGGAAACGGACGGCGAGCAAACAAATTTCAAGGCGCAATTGCCGCCCCCCTCAAGCACACACACACACAGATGTCCCAAACTTCCGCTGCCGCCGCGCCCGAAACCCATAACTTTTAACAGCCATCACATCTATCGTCGTCTACTCACAAACGCGCAAATCATTCTTTAAAAAAAAAAAAGAAAAGCTACAGTAACAAATGGCCAGGGACTTTTCAGGCATTCCCCCATCTAGTAGTGTTAAAAGTGTTCAGAAGACGTGTATTGTCTTGCGTTGAGATGATGAGGGCAGTGGCATAGGAAAGGGAAGGGTCTTTTTTAATAATATTGTTTACTGGAAATGACTGATTTTCCTGCCCCCTTTTCCTATGCCACCGCATCTAAGCACAAGACAATACAGAGAAAAAATTGTGCACTGCTCTAGTTTTTTTTCTTTCGTCAATAAAAATATTTAACCCTAGAAAAAAAAATTATCGCCAGAACCTTTTTTTTTTTTTTGGGGGGGGGGGGGTGTTGATGTGAGTGGGATGTCCCCGAGTTTTGGAGTGGGTAAAATATTACGAAGTGTCCAGCGTTACGTCCGACGTAACCCAAGTTAAAGGCGGACCAGCAGAAATATTCTTCCGCCTGGCGGAAATTCCTCCTCGCCCTCTTTCTTTCGTGTATTGTAGCACGGCGAGGCGAGGGGAAAGGTCCCCTTTTGCGCCGGCTTCTTCTGAGAGGATAAGCCGAGAAAATCTCCATGCTGAGTGACGGGCGATGGGTGCGGCAGCAGCGACCTCGTGACTTACAGGTAGCTTCAGATCCTATCGCGTAATCTGCCCCGTTTTTCGGCGCTCACCAAGCCTAGCCCCTCGGGTGTAGGTTTTTGCGGAGCTGCAAGGCTGCGCCCGCGCACTCACCGAATTTCAGCTGTCGAAGGTCTTTGGTTTTGCCCGTGGCAAAATAAACACATACTTGAGAGCTGCGATGCATCGCCGCACCCATTGAAGGAACGTTTCATAGATATTCTCGGTTGATCAAGGAGCTCAACACACGTGCGCGAGAAGTGGTGACTTGAA